TGAACACAACGAAGAAGTTGCTTTTTGGAATGAGGCATGTGTGAGTACGAAACTTTTTTATTCCTTTTGGACATCTACTTGAACTCCAGCGCTACATGTCATGATGGAAAATACCATGCCGAAAAAAAGAGAAAATGATGTGTATAGGGGCTATGGTCACACCGGTGCTCAGGAACATTTTTATAGCATCTGTTGATCGTACACTTGATGTTTCTATTTCTCCGCTAGGAGTGGTGCGAGTTATGAGGTATGCAGACAATCATTCAGTGTTCGTTACCACCCACAAGGGTGCTGTTTTTGATTGCAAAGTTTCAGTTAACTTTGGTAACGTTTTTCAGGCTTCCAGTGGTTTTACATTCACACGCAAGAAGCCAGTTAACCGTAGTTTCCAAGTCCTTGCCTTACGCCTATTTTTTACGCGTAACCACGTCTGTTGGATGTACACACCAAGAATGAACAAGACATTGCGGTCACGTGAACGTGCACATTCTAAGCTCACAGAAAGAGCAATCGTGTGCTTACTAGTGTTGTGGTTGGACACTGGAAAAATCATGCCATCATAAGTTTGCACTCCAGAAGAAATGCTTGATCAATGCCAGCTACCCATCATATGTGATATTAAGTTCATGTCAACGGCTGCTTCAGAGCACGAAAGATAATCGAAAGCATAGCCAGAATGTGATAGTAAGAAAGTTAGTGCACGTAATGCCCTACATACATCGCGTGCCACACAATGTAAAAAAGTTACCAACTGTTACGGGGTTGGAAAGGTTTCTTCAGCTCCGTGCAAGTTTGCGAAAGTTTGTGCAAATGATGCACAAAAGTAGGCGCATGCCCTGTAGTAAGTGCCACGTCAATATGTCCATTATTTTATACCAGGTGTGCTCTACAAGGTTTACCTGTCCTGTAACCATTGCTACATAGGACAGTCAAGACGCTGCTTTAATGAAAGGGTGAGGGAGCACAGACTAGACGATCGTTGCCACATTGGTGGCCACGTGGATTTGCACTGTAGGCGATTAAGATGTACGCCGTAACTAAGAGGTACACCAAGACTGTACAAGTATAACGACAAAATGAAAAGGGATATTATGAAGGCCTTCTGCATCCCTACAAGTGACAAATGCGTAAGCACGCATCTGCTGACATTGCTTCCTAAGGAGCTGCTATTTTTAGACGGTTTCGGGCAATCGAACCAAGTCGTTTGTTGAAAAGTGCACTATTGTTCCAGCTCCCTGTCTGTGCTTATGCCTCTGCCGATCTTTGTTAGGTTTTTATCATTAAAGACTGTTTGGCGTTCTCACAAGAAGGAAACCAGTACATGCGTACGGGTTTCCTTCTTCAACTTATGTCGTGATCTATAAGCACACGTCAAGATGATCACTATTCATATTGAGGCACATTGGCCTTCTATTTCGCAGTCCATGTTTTACGCCCATTCTATGTACTTTCCTTCGTCCGTGTTTTTTTTTTTGCACGACACAAATATGCATTCAAGAATGCTCCTACTAGCCCAAACGAAAGCTTGGTTGAAATGGACAGTCGTAGCTACTGACTACCTCACCCACTACGCCGAGACAGGTGCGCTGCCCAAAGGCAGTGCCGCAGAGGTAGCAAAGTTCTTCAGCGAGAACATCGTCTTGCGTCATGGTGCCCCAGAAGTCCTCATCTACGACAGAGGTACGACATTTACTGCTGACTTAACTAAGGCGATCTTGGCACACAGCCAGACAAGCCAGCGCTGGACGACAGCGTACCACCCACAGACTAACGGCCTCACCGAGCTGCTAAACAAAACTATCACTGACATTCTAGCCATGTACGTCGATGTCGAACACAAGACGTGGGACGCCATCCTCCATACGTGAACTTCGTATTGTTGCGACCGGGTTTTGCAGGCACAGGAGGTCCGGAAGGAAGTTGTCAAGGCAGGAGGAAGAGAGACTTGATGAGGGTTTATTGGCATTATATACAAGGTGAGCTCTCCTACATGACGAGCTCTTTCTTACATGGCGAGCTTTCGAATCTGGCGTTCCTCTACATGGCGCTCCCTCTAATGAGCCGGGTTGCTCATTATAAAGGGTATGTGCTCCCCAGATATTTAGATCAGGGAACACGTTCAGATGGTATTGTGCAATCACATATCACACACAACTGGTGAGGGGGACGAGCATGCACGGCCCACGTGAACGTCCAATATTGCGCCGTAATCTGTGCAATCCAAGGTGGCGCCAGTGGGGCTCTTCCTCGTCGTGTGAGTGCCGCTGGTCGAGGGGTCCCAAGTGCGAGACAGCATACTTCAAAGGGTCCGCCCAACTGCTCGCTTAATTAGCGGGTTGATTTGCGGCGGCCACCACCGGTCTCTTCCAAGGAAGATGCTGTATTTGTTGTCCTCTCTCGAACGGCTTACGGCGTCGTGGCGACACGACGTCTCACCCTCCGGCTAGGAGGGACAATGCCTGGCGGTCATAGGCAGCCGGCCTGTCGGCTACTTGTTTCAAGATCCAAAGAGCGCCGCTCCCTCGTCAGCTGCTGCGCCAGTCACAACAGTATACAACGCGGCGTTGCAGGAGACGACGCAGATGTCTCTGTACAAGTTGGTTTATGGAAGGAACCTGTCCACGACACTCGACACCACGCTGCGAAACATCGCTGAAGGGGAAAACCTTTAGCGTGCTGACGAAGCTCGTCAAGTCGATCGCCTGCGCATAAAGAATCAGCAGACAACGGACAGCCGCCATTACAACCTTCGGCGAAGCTTCATGAAATACCAGCCCGGAGACCGCATTTGGTTGTGGACACTGATGCGCCGGCTCGAACCTAGTGAAAGACTTCTGTGACGATGGTTCGGACCACACAGTGTAGTTCAACGTCTTGGTGCACTTGACTACGAGGTTCTTCGTGGTGGCATTGCGGATTATCAACGGCGTCGTGCATGACCTGAAATCTTCCATGTCGTGCGCCTCCAGCCATTTCATCCGCGAATCTGAGGACTGTATTTTTATTCTTGTTGCTGTGTTTATTGCTTGTATTTATTGTTTGTTCTCTTAGTTTACTATTATATTTTTGGTATTTGTGAAAGGATCGAGACAATGCCTTTTTCAGATGGGAGATGATGCCACATTCCTTCCTCGATTGTTGTTATTGCCTTGTTATTGTGTGAGTAATGTTCAGCGCAAACCACACCTACAGTGTCCAAGAAGCTTCGGGACTGTAGTAGATCAATTTGTTAAGATTACGAGCAAAACGTGAATATTACTGGAAATTATGTGGCTATTAGCAATAACACTGAAATATTCAATGCCGCATGTAGGCAGGTGCGTTGTCATGTTTTTTTATCTCTTCGTTCTTGCCCCTCCCTTCTAAAATATACTGTATGTATCTTGAGGGTATTTCAAATAAATAAATAAAAAATAAAAAAGTGGACGCACATCACCGTTTGTCAGTTGATCGACGGCCGATGCTCTGTTTGCTGCTATCAATGTGAGGTGTAGTACTGTAATCTGACTTTTTGTTCATCAGCCAGAAGTGCGGCTTAAGAAAACATTTCATCTTCGACCTGAGTCGACCATTCGTCGACATGGCGACCCCTTCGGGTGACCAAGCTTATCGGTAATCCACATAAAAACTTGGCAGGGCGAACAAACAAGACACAGAAAGCACAGAACAGAAGCCAAACTTTCATTATAAGTCTATACCAAACAGCTTTCCTAGGTATCCTTCTGCACTCATTCGAAGCTCCTCACTACAGTATGTCTAAATAATGCCTCTGTTTTGCTGTGTAACACCCCCTAAACGATGATAATTATTATTCACTTCAAAATTTCGAAAACGGACCAAAACCTAACTTCTAGGCTCACTCACACCCTAAATTTTCAAGGTGGTTGACGCTGAATATTTTCAAATCGGCTTATTCAAGCATTTTTAAGTTAGCCCACTTCCCAATATCTACTCCCCGTGCAACAGTTTTTATTGCCTTCTTTACGGGCCAAAAGTCATGACTAGCTGGCGTGTCGTCATTATCATATACGGGTATATAACGGGCACAAAAACTGGGCAAGTCTTGCCACTGGTCGGCTAAAATTGAAGAAGGCAAAAGTTAACCCAAGGAATAGCTGATGGCGTATTGGGATTTCATCGTATTAAATTACAGGAATCCGCTAAATTCCGTTATACAATTAATTTGAAATTACGATCTTTTCTCCTGTAAAGCACACTTAGTAGAATGTATGGTGAGTAAGTAACACGAAGACAACTTACGGCCAGTGGGCACTGCCAGTGGGGAATCACTGGCAGAAGAAGAAGCACTGTACGGTAAGCTGCATTTAATTCATTATAAATAATTGCCATTTCATTTTTGTTTTTTTAAATCACCAAACATTCTTCGAATAACGTTCTAAATTTTTAACTACGCAATTTTTGCCTACATTCCAGAGTGCCTTAGGTTCGAAGGAAAAACAAATAAACTGTAAGCTGCATCGCGAAGCAGTTTCGGAAGGCATTAGTGGAGCTGAAACACCCTTCCCTAGATGTCCCAGTTTCAGGCGTAGCATCACTGCTGGTGCGTTAAAGAAATCGTTCTCAAAGCAATGTTGCGAGTTATCTCAATCAGACCTGTCTCTCACCGCGCATTGGCATGTAGCGACTTCGCTGTGGGAAATACTGGTGCGCACTGCATGCTACCTTCCTCCCCACGATTCTTGTAAGTGGAGCTGAAACACCCTTCAACCCTCCCGAGCCAGCGACCATACCACTGCTCGCTCTGTTGTGGCATAGTTTGAATGCTATTTTTTCAACATTCCCTCTGACCTCCTCCTCGAAACCAAAGCTGACCGGCACCAACCCAATGCGCTTTTTCTAGCAAAGCTCCGCGCGTTTCTCGCAGGAAGAGCGCCACGCAAGCGCTCGCCGACGAAGCGCGCTCTTCTCCTCCCGACGGAATCCGCTCGATGCCGGAGCGCAGTGGGCACGCGACGCGAGGTGGCGCTGTCACGTGCGGCGCTGTGGAGAGAAAGGCGGCCGCGTCTGTTGATAGCATTCAAGTGCAAGATTGTGCGTCACGGAAATCCTCTGGCTCGACCATTTGCGTGCCGTGCCTTCCGTGATTGTGTGTGACGCCCCGGGATTATAGAGCGGCGAAAATGGGTGACCCCGATCACCGCGTCCAACCACTGAGCATCGCCGTTGTCAACGGTGCGTCGGCTTCCTGGAGCTAACGGCACAGCGCCACGCACGCTCGGTGAGTGCACCGAGAGGCCGTGTTGATCTCCGAATCGGCAGTTTTGTCGCAATTCCGCAAAGCATTAATGGGCTTTGACTTTTTTTGTACCATTCCCGGTACGCCGATTACAGGATTTGGAAAGGTCGGCGAACGGCGTCGGAGGATGAGAAGCGGGAAGAACGCAATTTTCGGTATCTAAAACAATACACACCAGTTTGTTTCCTCTTGAAAGTATATGTCACCTCTTGTAACTTCATAACGATTTTCGATCTATGTATTCTAAAATGAAGCATCATTCCGCACGCATCCCCGTATCATCAGGAGCATAGAGTAAATGCTTCCGAGCATCGAGCATGACATCATTGACAGCAACAGCTTCATCTCATTACATTTACTTTACCCTCAATCTTGCAAAGCTCCCAAAAGGAGAGTGGGCTACACAAAATAACAAATAATAAACGAAGATAAACAAAACACCATCCTAATAACACGTTATGTGAAATAATAAACCTATAAAGATGTAATATCAGGCTAGTACAAATCAATGCAGATGTAGGTACTGTAATAAATGCAGGAAAAACATAGTAGAAAATTAGATATGCAATATACACTTTCATCAAACAAGTAATTGTGAATTCTGGAAGAAAACAATTCGTGATTTCAAACAGACATGCCGTCGGAGGGAAGGTGGTTCCAGTTGTTGGAACACAGGATTAATAGAAAGTACTTGTTGTGAAGCGCCTGCGTAGAGAACGCTGCAGCACTTTTCATCTTTTCTAAGATTTACGTGTTTCTTGGAGCCCCTCGGAGCTCATTTCAAGAACTCCCATGTACAGGAACCAAACGCCTAAAATGAGAACATCGCTGGTGAGAACGGTCATGCCAGAAAGGACACGGAACTACAACTGTAGTACGTAACCAAGAGCATTTGCTCATCTGGCCTGTGTGCCGTTATACAGGGTTGGTACACGTGGGATTTAAAAGCTAATCAGTGTGAGCCAGTTGGTACGCATGCATTGTTAAAAACAGTGAGAAGGGCACAAGACGCACAAAGGTATGCACACTAGTCCTGTGTGCGTGCCTTTTGGTGCTTTTTTAGCTATTTGGACGCATGAGACACAAACTTTCGCAGGCACTTGTGTCCTCGGTTTCAGGAACGAGGCACCTTGCAGTACCGGCTTGCAGCCTAGTCTTCTCGTGGTCCATCATGAAAAAAAATTGGCCAAACTCCACCACTAGCCACCGGCCCTCTAAAAATAAAATAAAGTAGGTGGCAGATAACCCAACACATACCTGTTGGCGTATCGAGATTTAATTACAATAATTTACAGAAATCTGTTAAATCCGTTTAAACATTGATTTCAAATGCCCAGTTTCCTACTGTAAAGTATACTTCGCAGCATGTTGCAGTGTGTAACACGAAGACAACTTACCGCAAAGTCGCTGCTTAAGGGTGATGAGGAGAAGGAGACACCTTACGTAGTTTCCTTCAATGAATCTCTCGAAACGATGCGGCGAATTACCAGGCCCTCATTCTTCGGTCTTTCGTTGCCTATTAGCAGTGATTTCGCTGTGGGAAGCACCGGCGCACACTGGATGCTTCACGTCACTGCAGCTTATTTACATGCTTTGGCCCTCTCCAGTTGCTCTCTTTTTCGCTTTGTCTTCTTCCTTTAGTGTTCCCCACTTTTTGCTCTGCGCGCTTTAAATCAAGTGCAACCGAAAAAAAAGGAGCTTGTGAAACATTCTAGGCTATTCAATAGGCACATGGTATAAAGTGAAAAGAATTGAGCAGGCTGCAAAAAGCGGCAGAAGCCTAAGAGCTGTGAAAGCAAACTTGCGCATAGGCAAAAATCGCATGTCTACATTAAGCGACAAGGAAGGCAATGTCACAACCAATATGAAAAGGATAGTTGAGGTGGCGGAGGAGTTCTACAGAGAGCTGTACACATTGCTTAAACAACCAGGATGATATTGTAAGAAGTGTAGTGGAGAAGAGAGAGAGAGAGTATGTAGCCGGAGGAGGTAGAAGACGACTACGACGAAGAGCTGAGCCCGTGACAGTGATTGACGCCCCTGTGCCCAGGCAGTTGGTTTTAGTCAATAAACTCCCTTATAATTTGGTGGTAGTGCTGGGTAGGCCTTGAAGCTCGAACTACGAAATCGCACCTTACCTCCAGTGTCAGCAATGCTGAAAGAACCCTCCACCCAAGGGACCTCCCAAGTTCCCGCCTCTTCATGTCCCGGCGTGTGGCCATTGCGTCACTCCCCGATCTTCAGCGGCACTAACGGTCAAGACGTTGAGGAGCGGCTGGTTACTTACCACAAGGTGAGCGCAGCGAATAAGTGGGACGATGTGGCTAAGCTGACCTATGTAAGCTTTTACTTGTCCGGCGTCGCTTGTCGCTTGTTGCGCAATCACGAAGCCGACATTGCCAGCTGGGATTCGTTCAGGAGTTTCGCAAGTCTTCGACCGCCCTGTCGTGCGAAAACTCCACGCAGAATAAAGGCTTCGTGAGTGCGCTTAACAGCCAGGAAAGACCTTTACCAGTTACATTGAAAATGTTGTTGACTTGTGCAGGCTGGTAAACCGAATTATTCTCGAAGCCGACAAAATCAAACAAATTCTTAAAGGCATATCCGGTGGCGCATTTCAAACGTTGTTAGCCAAGGACCCACAAACCATAGCTGATGTCGTCCAGATTTTTGACCAATTGCGCAAGCAACGCGCTCAAACACTGCGCTTTCCGGAACAGCGTGATTCGATGGTGGCCTTGACTCGCGGAGAACAGAATGGCATGTTGGCTCGCATGAAGCAGTTCGTGCGTGAGGAGGTCACTTGGCAGCTCTCCATTTTATCGAGCACGCTCGAACCAGCACAAACGCATTCTCTGGCCCCAGATTATCTGGCCCCGGCCATAAGGCACGTCATACAAGATGAGGTAGCTGACGCTTTGCCTTTAGCTCGTTCACCACCTCTCGAGGCTGCACCCTTGACGTATGTGCAAGTCGTTGCAGCCAGAGCACCTCGACAGCCCACTTATGCTACCTCACCGGTCCCTGTTCGGTCATCACCGGCTCTGTTCAGCCGACCAATTGCGGCGTTTCCGAATCCGTGGCGCACCGCAGACGACTGTCTGATTTGCTATTCTTGCGGTTACGCAGGACTTGTGGCTCGCTTTTGCCGCCGCCACCCTCTCGTTCACAGCGACACCATGCAAAGATCGTAGCACGAATCTTGGTGTTTTAACGACACAGCACGTCAACAAGAATCTTCTTCACCCGACCGCCCCCCCCCCCCCTCAGTCAGTCACCGATCTCCACCTCCCCACCGTCGCTCCCTGTCACCTATGCGCCGTCGACCCTGCCCTTCAGACGCGGAAAACTAGATGCCACACTTCCCGAGTCACGAACTGCGCCGTCGTCGAAAGAATCAAGTCCTCGCATTTCTCTGACAGACCTCATCGACGTTTTTGTGGATCTTTACCGTACCTTTGTGCTTGTGGACACTGGTGCTGCCGTTTCAGTAATTTATTCAAAAATTTGCCACCTGCTTCAGAAGGTTCCCATGACGCCAAAGGAATTGTCCCTCCTTACTGCCAGTGCTCACCATATTCGACCATCAACTGCCTGTACCGAACGCGTTCTCATCCAGGATGTTTTGTATACCGTTGAATTACTTGTGCTACAGGCGTGTTTTCAAGATGCTATCCTCGGCTGGGATTTTCTGCCTCTTAATCATGTGGTTATCGGCTGTGCTCGTGCTGAAGTGGCCTTCTCTGCGATGTGTGCCTCGTCTCCGGAACTTGCGTTGAACAAGCTGTTTGTCGCCGACAACATCGACATACCACCTACTAGCGCAACCTTTGTTCCCGCGTATTTTGCCGTTGTGTCTAAGTCTGCAGTGTTGTTTACGCCTTCCCAAGCAATACACCGTGGCAGGAGCCTCGTGTTGTGGTTTGATGTTTTAGATATTTCGGCGGGTGCCAGCAATTTGTTTGTCAGGAATCCCTTGCCATGTTTCACAAACTTGCGTCACGGAGAATGTATTGGAACATTCCAAGGCTTACACATTTCCGCCTTCTTCAACCTTGACGGTGAAATTGATTTGCAGCCTAACGCACGGACGCCATTTGCCTGCTCACTTGTTCACGCAAACATTATTTTTCTTTGGCCCCTCAATTGATGGCGAACTTGAATAACCACATCACAAAAAGCTTCTAGAACTTCTTTACCAGTTTCGCGGCTCATTCGATTGCCAGCAGACGTCCTTAGGCTGACCGCAGTGTTGTCCATCACATTAACATCGGCTCCCAAGTGCCTCTGCGACAGCGTCCCTACCGTGTATCTCCTGTTGAGCGACGTGTGATCACCGAGAAAGTGGCTGACATACTTCAACGTGGCGTCATTCGGTCGTCCAGCAGTCCCTGGTCTTCACCTGTGGTGCTTGTAAAGAAAAAGAATGGCTCAATTCGCTTCTTTGTCGATTACCGCTGTTTAAGCAAAGTTACGCCTAAAGACGTATACCCTTTGCCAAGCATCGATAATGCCCGGGACTGCTTGCAAAACGCTGAATTCTCATAATTAGACCTATGGTACGGTTATTGGCAGGTTCCCATGGCACCATCACATCGCCCAAATACTTCTTTTGTGACGCTAGATGGGCTATACGAATTTAATGTAATGCCCTTCGCCCATTGTAATGCGCCAGCAACATTCGAAAGAATGATGGACAGCATCTTGCGCGGGCTAAAGTGGAAGACATGCCTATGTTACTTAAATGATGTCGTTGGTCTCTCTCCTGATTTCGACAGCCACCTCCATCGTCTCAGTGAAGTCTTGAGCTTCCTCACGAGCGCAGGCCTTCAACTAAACATCAAGAAGTGCCACTTTGAAGCTCGGAAGCTCACGATACTTGGTCACGTTGTCTCAAAACAGGGCGTCCTCCCAGACCCAGAGGAGCTTCGTGCTGTCGCTGAGTTCCCGAAGCCTACGACCGTGAAAGTGCTTCGAAGCTT